ATTTTTATATACCTTTTTAGTTAATTTTCAGTACCTTAATTCTACCATGGAACTACAAATGATTGATTTTTTTATATATATCTCTTCAGAATAAGATATTTTCAGATCTGTATCTTTGTTTTGAAAGGGGTACTTTTTTCTATGTTTAATTAGAATACTAATGAGTCTGCCTCTGACAGTATTTTGAACTCTCATCCTTCAGCTCGAGTGAGAAGACCAGAATTGGATGATGACCCACAGAACAGAGAGGATGAAGAAACAGAAATTCAAGTGGCAGCGTGAGAGTGACTAGAATACTTCTACTATAGTATTGTCTTTATTTAACTCTTTATTGTTATGTCATATAAAATAACACACATCTAGGATTTTAAGAACTAATATATATAATTATTCACTTCATAAATGTTATACTCTCAGTTCTAGACTTTAAATACTTTTTGGATCATATATAAGCATAGGTTGAAACAATCATATAATATATGCTTTCAAAAACATATTGCTTTAATTTTTCACAGGAATATCTTTCTTTCATAAACCTCTGTTGAACCATACAAAATGATTAGTACCTGAGACTATAAAATGTGATTGTCTATGCTTTTTGTTTTCCAACTAACCCGTTTTCACAATTATAACCATTGGCTGAATTATCTTATACTTTATAGATATGCTAATGTGAGCTACAAAGAAAAGTTTTATGACCTACTACTTTGCAATAAATATATTGTGTATTTGTTTTTTTATTTTGTTTTTCTTTCACAACTAACATCTTTATCTGGGCATCAGTTATCAATATTTACCTGTTCTTTACTCTCTCATATTTTTATGCATGCTTTTCATAAATTATTTTGAATGAGTATATTCTAATTCCGTTTTGGCTATGTGTTTATTTCTCGTACTTTAATCCTGCATGTTAGTTCCCGTCCCACTACTCGTCGAGTACGTCCCCAATCGACCAGAATTAGAACTGCAACGATAAAAAAAGTGTGTTATACCACAGCATACTGTTCTACCTGTCCCTCTTCTAGCACGAAGATGTATTTACCCACAGGATGATGATGATGATGATTCTCTTAGTTTTGGGTTTTCAGATAACAGTTTATCCTCTGATGATGAGTCAGTTAGCTGGAGTGGCTTGACAAGAAGTAGCAGAATAAATTTGGATGAGGAATTTTACATAACTGAAGAAAGGGACAGGTTGTATTCCCAGCTCCCCTGTGGGAAGAATGGAAGGTTGGTTGATTTCTTTAGCAAGGCTGCCAAATAATAGCAAGATATTTTCATAAAATACAGCTACCCAAGTAAGCTTTTAGAACACATATAAATACTTAGGTAGTTTGGAAAAAAAAGTATAGAGACTGTTTTATTATGATGTTACCTAATGGAACTTCAGGATTTTTATGCTTTAGCCCTAGGTAAAACAACATTATTTATAAGATTGTGTCATTCCGAAAATATGTCTTGTTCCTGATGGGAGAAAAATATTGTAGTTTGAGTTGTTAAAAATGCCTTACGAACAATTGCTAGCCTTCAGGTTCAACTCCAAGGTAAGGAAATACGTCATAAAAAACAAATACCACACAAACGTGTATGATAGCATCTAAAACCTTGATTTTAAAAATATCAGTGAAGTCTAAACTGTACCTTTCCTAACATTACTACTTCACAGCTTATCAATTACATTTGCTGATTAATAATGGCTACAGGTACCTAGTAAAGATACCTATCTCACTGCATTTAACTCATTTTCAAAGACAACAAAATGTTATTCACTCAAGTGGTAAAAAAAAGGTAAAATATTGGTCTCGGCAGTAAATTTTATATTTTAATCTATATGAATAATGTAATGTACTTAGAAAATCACTGAACTGAATGTTCCATGCTTGTATTGTTCATACCTTGTGACAATCTACTACTGGGTCTAACTTCGGGGTCATAGGGTGGCCATTAGTTGGGTGCCAATGTTGTATTTTGTTTTCCATGATATCTATCCTTGTCTTGGATTTGAGTCCAAAGCTAACTGCATGCTAGTCAAGTGATCTGTCATAGGGTGGCCATTAGTTGGGTGCCAATGTGGTATGTTTTCCATGATATCTATCTTTGTACATATTCTTGGGTCTAACTTCGGGGTCATAGGGTGGCCATTAGTTGGGTGCCAATGTGGTATGTTTTCCATGATATCTATCTTTGTA